CGATAAGGAACATAAGTATGGACGAGACATAAAGGGAATGTGGGGAAGAGACAAAATGATAATTGGGGATTGGTATTGGAGGATGTGTAAGAAAGGTTTCTTGAAGGCATACAATAGATGGGTTATAAGAGGAAAGGATATGACGAAGGTCAGGTCTGTGGGAGCGGAAACCGCGAATATTCCAATGAAGGATAGTTATACTTTCGTTGATTTAGTGATATAGATTGCAGTACGTGTTGGAGACTTTGAGGGGGAATCAGCTAGAGGGTGGGATAAGGACTGAGAGGTTTGAGATGGGAGAGATGTGGGAGTTGGTGTTCTATCAGGAGGGGTATTAGGAGATGGAGGGTCTGAGGAAGGGGATACTTGTGACATAAGGGATTCACGTGTGTATCCAGGAGGGAGTGGAAGGGATAGAGGGGATGGTGGGAGGGTTAATGTGGGCGGGGTTGGGGTCAGGGGGGATGGGCTGTGTTGGGAGGGGGTAGGAGGGTAGGGTGTAAGGGGGATATCGTTAGGAGGAGGATGGATATCAGCAATTACTTGGAGTGTGGAAGGAGCAGGAGTTGTAGGTTGAGTGTCGGTTTTCATTAAGTAATCTTGAATATTTTCAATAGTTTCTTCTGACGAGTTGGTTGGGGAGTTTTGGGGGATAAAGGATTTCTTGTGAGGGGGGGAAGAGAGGAGTGGTGTCTCAAGAGTACGGGCAAAGGATGGTGGGGGTGATTGTGTGGTAGGGGAAGAGGGGGTGGAACGTTTGTTCTGTCTGTTACGGGGAGTGCGAGGAGGGAGAGGGGAAGGTGTTGGGGTTGTAGTGGTGATTGGAGTATCTGTAGTAGAGATTGGAGTTTCTGGATTTAGGATGGCAAAAGAGTTAGACTGGGGAAGGTAGGAGGTAGAAGTGGGGGGGTTAGATGTAGGAGGGGTGGGTTTAGAAGTGTTAGAATGAGCAGTATTACTGGAGTAAGGAGTAAGAGAGAATCCACGTCGACGTGCTTCCTGTCTGGCTTCACGCAGTGCGAGTCCAAGTTTGAATTTGAGTTGCTACCTCAGATTCAAATTTGTAGGTGGGACAGCCCCTATAAAATACATTATGGGGGCCGCCACAGTTGGCACATGTGCGTGATTGTGCAGAGCAGTTAGATCGGGTATGGCCAGGTTGGGCACATAATGGGCATCTGGCTGTGGAACGGCAGTGTTTGGCTGGGTGTCCTAGACGCCAACAATTTTGGCACTGACGTGGAGGAGGTTGGTATGGACGAACAGGGAGGGATTCTCCTCCTATGTAGACGTTAAAGGGAAGGTCATGTCTGCGGAAGGTAATTTTGGCTATGTTAGTGGGTTTCTTTCGATGACCTCTGGGGGGGATTGAGTAGCATTGTACTGATGTTGCATCGTAGTCTGTGAGACAGGCAAGTAGATCTTCTCCACAATCTGACCAATCTTTGTCATAGATTGGGCAATTTGCTGGTGAGATTGAGACTGTTCCGGTGCAAGTATTGAGGGTTGGATGGGGTTCTGCTAGGATGGGGTTACCATATTGGTCAGTTAGTTTTGTTAGTGCTATGGCTTGGTTTTCGGATGTTACTGTTACAAGACGGGAGCGGTCGGGTCGGCTACGGAAAGAGACTTTACCTACTTGTTTTTGGAGGCATTGTTGGAAGAGAAGGATGTTGTCAGAGTAGGGAGCTGTGGGAGGGATCACGAAAAATCGGTCCCATTTGGCTGCACTGAAGAGAGTATTCAAGATTGTTTTAGAGATAGGGGTGGTAGAAGGGCGAGGGCGTGACGAAGATGGAGTAGTGTTGAGGGAGCTAGTGTTATGGAGAGGTGGGCTATAAGGCTGTAAGGTATTAATAAGGGAGGATGGGGTGGTTGATGTTGGAGGTTGTGGGGGTAGAGGTGTTGAAGTTGGGCATGCTGGGAGAGTGGAAATGTTCCTTGAGGGTTGATTGTTGGCTACTGTACTAGTAGGCATTGGTGAAGGGGTAGTTATTGCAGTGTTCGGAGCCGTGGTCAAAGGAGAGCCTGGGGTCGGGGAATCAGGTGGGTTTACTTCGTTGGGGCTATTTGATAAAGGGGCAAGCCTCATTGCCCCTAATAGTGGGGATATATTTTCATTACTGGCCATGGGAAGCCTGGATTATGTTGGGGATAAAAACAGTCCACCCCTCAGGGTCCCCTTGAGGGGTAAGGGCTAGATAACTAAATCAGGGAAATACCGTGCCCATGGCTCCCTCAGGCCGTTCAGGACTGGCACAAAGTCAGCCTTTCATCCTTTCAGCACGGCTCTCACACCTTAGGAGGTGGATAGCAGAAGGGTTTGGTGAAGGGACAGAAACAAAAGTGGGAAGGGAATGGTTAATGGTTAAAAGCAAGATAAATGTGCTAGACATCTAAGGTCATGTAGCACTATAGTTAATGTTAGTGAAGGGTGGTTGAGTTAGTGATTAGTTGTCTAAGCTGGGCAAAGGAATTAGTGAGTGAAAGGGTTAAGGTCGGGTGTTATATTAGATAAAGGGTATGCATAAGAAAGGTTTCTTGAAGGCATACAATAGATGGGTTATAAGAGGAAAGGATATGATGGTCAGGTCTGTGGGAGCGGAAACCGCGAATATTCCAATGAAGGATAGTTATACTTTCGTTGATTTAGTGATATAGATTGTAGTACGTGTTGGAGAATTTGAAGGGGAAGCAGCTAGAGGGTGGGATAAGGACTGAGAGGTTTGAGATGGGAGAGGTGTGGGAGTTGGTGTTCTATCAGGAGGGGTATTAGGAGATGGAGGGTCTGAGGAAGGGGATACGTGTGACATAAGGGATTCACGTGTGTATCCAGGAGGGAGTGGAAGGGATAGAGGGGATGGTGGGAGAGTTAATGTGGGCAGGGTTGGGGTCAGGGGGAATGGGCTGTGTTGGGAGGGGGTAGGAGGGTAGGGTGTAGGGGGGATATCGTTAGGAGGAGGATGGATATCAGCAATTACTTGGAGTGTGGAAGGAGCAGGAGTTGTAGGTTGAGTGTCGGTTTTCATTAAGTAATCTTGAATATTTTCAATAGTTTCTTCTGTGGAGTTGGTTGGGGAGTTTTGGGGGATAAAGGATTTCTTGTGAGGGGGGGAAGAGAGGACTGGTGTCTCAAGAGTACGGGCAAAGGATGGTGGGGGTGATTGTGTGGTAGGGGAAGAGGGGGTGGAACGTTTGTTCTGTCTGTTACGGGGAGTGCGAGGAGGGAGAGGGGAAGGTGTTGGGGTTGTAGTGGTGATTGGAGTATCTGTAGTAGAGATTGGAGTTTCTGGATTTAGGATGGCAAAAGAGTTTGACTGGGGAAGGTAGGTGGGGTTAGTGGGGGGGTTAGATGTAGGAGGGGTGGGTTTAGGAGAAGTGTTAGGATGAGCAGTATTACTGGAGTAAGGAGTAAGAGAGAATCCACGTCGACGTGCTTCCTGTCTGGCTTCACGCAGTGTGAGTCCGAGTTTGAATCTGAGAGTTGCTACCTCAGATTCAAATTTGTAGGTGGGACAGCCCCTATAAAATACATTATGGGGGCCGCCACAGTTGGCACATGTGCGTGATTGTGCAGAGCAGTTAGATCGGGTATGGCCAGGTTGGGCACATAATGGGCATCTGGCTGTGGAACGGCAGTGTTTGGCTGGGTGTCCTAGACGCCAACAATTTTGGCACTGACGTGGAGGAGGTTGGTATGGACGAACAGGGAGGGATTCTCCTCCTATGTAGACGTTAAAGGGAAGGTCATGTCTGCGGAAGGTAATTTTGGCTATGTTAGTGGGTTTCTTTCGATGACCTCTGGGGGGGATGGAATAGCATTGTACTGATGTTGCATCGTAGTCTGTGAGACAGGCAAGTAGATCTTCTCCACAATCTGACCATTCTTTGTCATAGATTGGGCAATTTGTTGGTGAGATTGAGACTGTTCCGGTGCAAGTATTGAGGGTTGGATGGGGTTCTGCTAGGATGGGGTTACCATATAGGTCAGTTAGTTTTGTTAGTGCTATGGCTTGGTTTTCGGATGTTACTGTTACAAGACGGGAGCGGTCGGGTCGGCTACGGAAAGAGACTTTACCTACTTGTTTTTGGAGGCATTGTTGGAAGAGAAGGGTGTTGTTAGAGTAGGGAGCTGTGGGAGGGATCACGAAAAATCGGTCCCATTTGGCTGCACTGAAGAGAGTATTCAAGATTGTTTTAGAGATAGGGGTGGTAGAAGGGCGAGGGCGTGACGAAGATGGAGTAGTGTTGAGGGAGCTAGTGTTATGGAGAGGTGGGCTATAAGGCTGTAAGGTATTAATAAGGGAGGATGGGGTGGTTGATGTTGGAGGTTGTGGGGGTAGAGGTGTTGAAGTTGGGCATGCTGGGAGAGTGGAAATGTTCCTTGAGGGTTGATTGTTGGCTACTGTACTAGTAGGCATTGGTGAAGGGGTAGTTATTGCAGTGTTTGGAGCCGTAGTCAAAGGAGAGCCTGGGGTCGGGGAATCGGGTGGGTTTACTTCGTTGGGGCTATTTGATAAAGGGGCAAGCCTCATTGCCCCTAACAGTGGGGATATATTTTCATTACTGGCCATGGGAAGCCTGGATTATGTTGGGGATAAAAGCAGTCCACCCCTCAGGGTCCCCTTGAGGGGTAAGGGCTAGATAACTAAATCAGGGGAATACCGTGCCCATGGCTCCCTCAGGCCGTTCAGGACTGGCACAAAGTCAGCCTTTCATCCTTTCAGCACGGCTCTCACACCTTAGGAGGTGGATAGCAGAAGGGTTTGATGAAGGGACAGAAACAAAAGTGGGAAGGGAAAAAAAAGACCATGCATAATTAGTTGAGTCGAGGGCTGAGTCCCAAGGTTGGGGAGTTCCCCATCATTGGGTCCCAGTCTCCGCCTCCTAAGCCCCCCCACGACAACAACGGGCAAGGGATTGGGGGGGCTAATAAAGGCTAAAGGAATAACCAAGGAAAAGTGAAAGCAGCATGAACTAAACCATGTAAATAAAACAAGTTCATAAATCTCCATTTATTTCAGTTTTTTTTTTTACATTGTCACACAATACTTATGTGTTGAGGGCTGACTAACATCACCATCGCATGACTGGTTAACCCTCACAGTCTCACAATATTAACTTAAGCTAAAATGCAAAATTAAAATAAGAAAAAAAAGCCGATTTTCAAAACACTTAAAAAGTTTACAGCAAAAAAGAAATAGTTACTAGTTATTTTTGAATCGAACTAAATTATTAAAAAAAAAAAAAAAAATACAAGTAGGTACTAAACATTCATCCAGTACCTTGTAACCAAACTTATGTGTTTTTATTTCTTTCTTTCTTATTAAAAAAAAAAAAATGTTCACCAACTTTGGCCTATGCTGGTGCACTTGTAAGCTCTTGGTTTTGTGCTTGAACATGTGCTCCTCTCATTCCAAAAGGTTGGCATTTCACTTGCGAGGAAAACTCAGCATCAAGCAGCAGCGGCAGCATCATTGAAAAGGGTGTCTGCAGCAACTTTAGGCCCTTGGATGCTGGCTTAAGACAAACGAGCTCTCTGTGCCAACCCTTTTTGTCTCTCATACACACATACTCCTATGTACAGGGCCAGAAACTATAGAAATGTGGATCTTTTTCATCCCCTCGTCTTTATTACTTAATACTTTTGGTCTAATAATTTGGAGAAGGAGAGGGATTTTATATATATAAAAAAAAAATGACCCAAAAAATTCAAAGAGTAAACAAGTCCAGAACGTGTAATCTGTCCCTCGCTGTATAACAAAACAAGAAAGAACAAGGTTCCCCTACCACGATGTAAAAGCTAATACTCTCTGGTGTTACTACTGGACAGACAGACCTTGCACTTGTTTTTTTTTTTCTTCATTTTTTTTTGTTGTGCTTTTTATAAAGAGTGAGGATGGAGTACTGTAAATGGTGTGCTATCTGGGTTATCAACTGCTATCTCTGCGATGAAAAGGTGAACAAACTACTGGTGTCCTCTGCCTGTGTAACAAAGACATATAAAAGCTGTGTATAAGTACACTGTATATATATCAGAAATCTAAAACTCCTGACAAGATAACATTTGTTTTCTTCTTAAACATCCCAGAGGTATACTGTACAATATCTGTACTTTTACAGAAGCAAAACCCAAGATGTAACTGTACAACAGCTGTGCATAGTAGCATATGTATTACAAGAGATGTAATATATAATAGCCACACATAAGGTTTATTACAGCTGCTGTAAAATTTTACACGCAACAGCTGTATAATTTTAAGAGGTTACTACACCTGTAAAACCGGCCTAATTGTACACTAATACATTTTTAAGTAACAAAAAGATCACGCACACACACCATCACATCTACTCCTCTTATTCATCAATGATTGTTGATGTAAAATATAAAAACCAATTAAAATCATGAAAACACTATCAACAATAACATTAAAATCTTTGTTCGTATTCTTTACCAATTAAATGGTCTTGAATAATTAACAAGATTCAATACTCCACAAAAAAAAACAAATAAAAATGGTAGCTGCTTACTCTACTTGCTGCTTTATTATCAAATTTTCTTTGATGACCTTCAAGGAAAAAAATAATATAAAAAAATTGCCTAAATACATTCATACCTTACATTTATAATAGGATTAAACGACCTTAACAAATATAAACTTTTTAAAATTCATTTTCCTTCTGCGTGATTGACCTAACAATGTTAAAACTACTATTCTTTGAATGTGTGAAAATAGAAATGAACAGACATCACTTGATATTAAATATTATCATCTACTATTAGTCTAACATACTGTTAAAGCAAGACACATGAACCGATATGATTGGATTTCCGTGCGCAGCTGCAGGCCACGGGGAGCTAAGATTTCAGTTCCCGTTCATTTCTTTTCCTTTACTTGCCTTCCACTTATTCCTTTCCTTTTTATTTCCATCCCTTTGCCTTTCTTCATTTCAATCCTTTCCCCTCATGGGAATTCCTTTTTTTTTTTCCTTTTCGAGGGTAGGCTTTGCCCTTTCCTCTTTGGTATGAGGCTAAAGGCTAGGGAATGAGAGGAATAGGTGAGAGCTTAGCAGGGGGGAGGGAGGGGGAAGGGGAGGGAGAGGGGAAAAGGCAAGGACAAGGGCACGGGCAAGGGATAAGGGAAAGGTAAAGGGAAACAAGAATGGGAGGAAAAAAAGGGTTGTCTAGTCACTTGGGTCATTTGTCACCCTCAAGGAGCCTGTCACTTTCCTAACACCTTGCATGAGAGGGGTGGGGTGGGGTATCTTGCCGCTCCCCTCTTCCCCCTTCCAAGCTTCCCCATCGCTGCATCCTGCCCACAGAAGGAACCCTGGTGGCCTGGTTAACTTAGTCATTTGAATTATGACAAAAAGGTCTCCTCACCAATGCAGTTTATTGAAAGTTTCCCTTGACATTTCTTAGAGGGAACTGTCTCTAAGAATACTGTCATATCTGCACAGGAGAGCTAGGTTATACACAGGTATATAAGGCTAAGGCTTATTACAATCTCTTGAATGACTTGGTATTACAAACTTTACAAAACAATTTTGGTTCACAGTTTTCAACAGCTAAGTGGTTTGGTAGTATATATAATCTCTAACATCAATGAAATACATAAATAACTATATATATCATACAAGATACAAATTCTAAACACTAAATGAGAAACTGCAGCATGAGGAAACAGATCTAAAATTACCATGTCCTTGTGAGTCCCTGCTCTTGTCATTGTTCAAAAGCAAATCATCTATTTTACACTGGTTCATTACCTGCCTAATAAAGCACCTTCATCACCTTGTTGGATTAAGTTATTTGTGCCTCGAAAGGAATCCCTTTCTTGCATACCCAGGCCTCATAGAGAAGGCTGAGAATTTTGATGTAATCTTTAATAACAACTTTGTGCTTTCACTGACGAATGCATCGTTTCCCCAGTTTCACGAGTTCGAAAATATGGTTACAAAGCCAAATACAAAACTTTCTGCCGGCAATCTTTGATGGATGTAGTTTTACTTTGGTTTCTGAGATAGAAAATGGTCCTTCAGCAGCATAAAATAAGCAAACTTCCAGCCAACTCTTTTTTTTTTTTTTTAGTTTCACATCAATATCATCTGCAAGTGATTTACCATTTGAATTTCCATAAAATCTCTGAATAATTACTGAAGTGTCTGGACACAACAGAATGCTGCCACTACGGTTTTTAGTCTTGGATCACTTTCTTATTGCTTTCTTGTTTGGCAACTGACTTTCACCGCCCGCCATCTGCCGCGGGCCAACACTCTTAGGGGGGGACGTAGGTGGGCGGCTTCCTGTACGTGGGCGGCATGTTGGGGCGTGGGTGGCGTGAGGCCCCGTTGGTGGCAGTGAAAGGTGGAGGGGGCTGGTATGAGGGCGTGTCATCACCCGCGTCACCTGAGGGGGGACGGCGTCGGTCAGATGTGGGGGGCGTGGAGGATGCAGCAGGCGAGGAGCCACGTTGATACTCAGGGGGGGGCAGAGGGGGCTTCTCATCCTTCATGATGACAGGGCTCTTGGCTGGATCAGGCCGGTCATCCAGCTCCTCAGCAAAGATAATGGGAATGCCTTTGCTCACAAAGGTGCTGTCATCAGCCATGGTCATCTTGCCATAGCGGCGCCTACGGTAGAGGCAGCATGCAATAATGGCTGCCAGAAGGAGCATAGCAGCAATGATGACTGCTGGGATAATGAAGTTAAGCAGGTAGTCATTTTCTTCACCCTGCACCGTCTCCCCCTGAGGTGGGTGGTGCACATCCTCTTCCACATGGGTGGGTGTGTCCTCAGCTAGGCACGAGCCACTTGGACGGACTGACCCGCTCTCTACCTTGAAGTCCGGGGCAAAGTTGTCAACAAACTCCCGCTTCAGCTCACCATTGTCGTTGACCATGATTTTCCTGAGACGCTGAATCTCCTCATTGGGACATGGCTCTGACGGAAGCGACCCATTATGCCACTTCACTTCCACCGAGCCCTGCCGCAGGGATTCCACTACCACATTCTCAGTATCAGTGTCACCGAACGCATAGGCTATCTGCTCAATCAGTCGTGCCTTCTGGTGGGCATTGCTCATAAACTGCTGGTAGTCTGTGTCGACTGTGATAGAGAACTCCACAGGTGGGATCTTAGTGGTTGACCCACGCATCACTCGGATGAACAGTGCATCATTCACCTTCTCACCACCACTGTCCACACATTCCTGGAAAGAGAAACGGCTTTAGAAGGCAAAATAATGGTATACGTCATGTAATCATGGCTTTTCTTTAATTTTCATTAATGTCCAAGCAAAAAGAACATGACAAGCACACATTCATTTTTTCAAATCCCAATAACATTTATGTCTATAGTATAACTCAAAAAGAATCCTCACACACACTCCAGCGCTATCTTCAGTTTCTCAAAACTGTATTCCTTCTCTCTTTCAACCAAAGCTCCACCAACACTTCCCAATTAAAGCCCTACTGAGAATATTCAAACACCAAAATTAATTTCTTGTTCACCCATATGTTTTTTGCAGAGCAAGGTCAATGAGCAATATTCTGTCCCTTATAACAAGCAAGTGATCAACCTCCCTCAAGAACTTTTAACCCAATGACACCGGGTGTACAAAGCAAAACAAAAAAACTCTACGTTCTAGCAAACAAAGGCGGCGCACCGACTTTGAGTGCGTGAGTAGGGGACTCAGTGATTAAGCCTGAATCACTGGCTCGCCGGCGTTCGGCAGCACTCCAGCTTTCGAGCGGTTTGTTTGCACACCGATCGGCGTCACCCGGCACCAAGGGGTTAAGAGAATCTTGTCTCTTTCACCATGATATGACTATACCTATACCTATACCTATATACACCTTCTAACTTTCATCACTTCCTTTTTTTTTTATAATTCTTTTACAACTAAATATACACTGATCTGCCCCGGAGTTCACATAAATTATTATTGGTTAAAACTGCGGCCAAGAAACTGAATCCTTTTAAGAGATCATGAACACTTTCCCTTCAAGCAGCTCATCCAGGAAGGGTAAGCAAGCCATCAATCTAAGGAACACTCCTAGCATGGCCACTCTCCTTCCCTCCCTCCCTCCTACCATGGCCACTTTTCTTCCCTCCCTCCCTCTCCCCCTAGCTTGGTCACTCACCTTCTCCCCCCCCCAGTATGGTCACTTTCCTTCCCTCCCCCCCTTACATGCCACTTATACCTCCCTGCCCCCTTGCATGGCCACTTTTTCTCCCTCCCCCCAAGCATGGCCACTTTCTCTCCCTCCCCCCAAGCATGGCCACTTTCTCTCCCTCCCCCCAAGCATGGCCACTTTCCCTTCCTCTCTCCCACCAATACTGAAAAAGTAAAACTATGCTTTAACACCTTTTGACTCTTCTAGTTTGTATCTCCTGAACCTTCTATAATCCTTTCTTTCAGGAGGAGTGTTTACCCCCATCTTGTAAGGGACTACAGGCCTCCTATCCTATTTTCACTTTAGTACATATTTTCTTTGCCTGCAAGTGATTTCAAGTGCATAAAAAGCAATGCTATCAATTTTCAAAACTAGATCAAGGCAAGCTTACCTATTTTCAAAATTACACAAAGACAACATTATCCATATTCAGAGCTAGATACAGGTTATCAATATTCAGAAACAGATACAGGCAATTTTAACCCCTTTGAGATACTCATCCCATCAACTCCCACAGAACACCAATCATCCTCAGTAAACATAAAAGTAAAAAAATCCCTTTTCCTTACAAGAATGTACTCTGCTTTCCCTGCATCTCCTGCCAATGGGAGGCCAAAGAACTCCTGGTTGGCCTCGTCAAACTGGAGCCAAGAGTCAAGGGGAGGCGGAGAGAGGTTGGAGGTCAGAAGACGCAGGTTCAGACGGCGAGAGTCTCCATCCTCCAAGTCATAGCAGGTGTCCTAGGGGAACATAATTTGTATAAGGAGTCAGTTTTTTCGTTATTTTTTTTTAGTATCAAATGCCATCAATCTTAAGTGCTGACAGTTGCAACGTTCAATTTGGCAAGATATATGATAGTAACTAAAACAAAACATGATAAGGTGTAGTGCAGTAATTGCATAATTAGCTATAAAAAAGAACAAAACCCATTTACTAATATAAAAGACTTACCGTAGGAACCTGGTAACGGAACAGCATACCAAGGGTGGCATTGAGGAAATCAATGTGGTTACGGATGATGGGTGGGCTGTTGCTGAAGGTTTCAACACCTCGGCCGGTATCTTCTGCAAATGGGGAATGTTATACATAACAACCAAAGAGAACACATGTGGTAACAAACATGTTCAAAAAAATTTTTATGAAGGTAAAAGATTTCCCCCACACTCCTAATTCAGTAGGTTAAAACTTGTCAACATTCACACTTTCAATATTTACAAAGGCTGGAAAACTGAACTCCAAGAGTGTTCCAAGCAATCTTACCTGGTCCAGGAGGATGCGGCATGCCTGGCTTCGGGGCAGAGTGCTTCTCACACGGTCCCATAAAGTGAGGGTGGATCCGCTTCAAGTGGAACTCAGGCTGGAACACCTCCTTCACCTCTCTTGTGAGGTCGTGCTCATCCCCTTCCACCAGCACCTTGGGAGAGAGTTAAGAGTCATTTATCGAGTCACTTATTAAGTCGTCCTGAGAGAGGTGGAGGTGGTTGTATGGTATGATAACAATGAGAAAAAAGATTTTCAAAAACAAAGAAGGCATACTAATTAGACATGACCAGTATTATAAGAATTTCAATATTAAAATCAATTAAGATCAATTAAGCAAACAAAGGCGGCGCGCCGACTTTGAGCAGGTGAGTAGGGGACATCAGCCCGAATCACTGGCTCGCCGCACATTGGCGCGCCGCCGCAGCGTACAGCCGCACGCCAGCTTTCGAGCAGTTTGTTTACACGCCGATCGGCGGAACAAGGCACCAAGGGGTTTAAACATTTCATCAACTGTGTCATGCACTGTCTGTTCACCTGTACACACTTTTTCCAGATATCCCCAACAAGAATGCCCAGAGAAATACCCATCCTATGCCTTGCTAATCTTTAAGTTCTTCCAGTGAAACTAAGCAACAGTGACCCACCTCCTGCACTGCCAGCAACTGATCCATGGGGCACATTGGTGACCGTGGGTTGGTTAGTGTGGTGTTCGTCCACGTCAACTTGGTGGGGTTCTCAGAAATGGACCTGACATTAATGTTGTCAGTGTTTGGATCACCATAAATCTGAGCAATTTTCTCAACCACTTTTATCTGGAGGGGAAAAAAAAAAGGTGATGGCTTCATTATTATAACATGAACAACATACACTCCTAATACTTCAAATATTAACATTAATAATATAAATGTTTATTCATTATCAAAAATAATGTCCTTATCTCTATCAACATCAATATTAAGTCTTTGGATCTAGGTGAAGTGACCACGATAAAAATCTGGCTCGAGGGCCAGGGTGACGGGCACATGTCGTTATCAGAACTTCAGCTGATGGCCAGGGCAACGGGATTGACTTGCCACGAGTGAACAAAGCTGATGGTGATTAGACTCGGTGGGCATTTCGGAAGGGGCTTCGGCATCATTTCCATTGGTGACGGAGTGTACCTTCCATGAGCCGTGATTTATAGACTACTCACAGAAAGATATAGATTTTGTGTGAAGAAAACTATCTATTACCATCTATGACACACAGACTTGGAAATTGACAAAAAAGAAAAGAAAAAAAAATTTGCTAATAACACTGTAAAGGGAAGCAAAGAGCACTGACACTACATACAAGTATTCGCTTGTGCCCGGCCAACCAGCCAGATACTTAAGAGTCACCACTTAAATCCAAAGGGTTAGTATCAATACCAATTTCATTTTTAACAATATCAGAAATATTAACATTATCAATATCAATATCGATAATATAAATTATATTATTAACCTTCATAAATATATTTATTTACATCATGTTTTTTAATATTAATATTAGCAATACTATCATCAATATAAAATACAAAATCAATATTATGGATATTAACACCAACGTTAATGTTAATATGAACACTAATACTAATATCAACAAAAATATTAATATTAATGTTAATACCTATAATAATGTCAATAATATCGATAAAAATATCAATAATAATCTCTCTAATGTGAATGGCCTCTGCACAAGGACGGCTCCACAAGCGTTAAGCACCAAGAAGTCGATTGACAGACCAATGTAACCTCAGCCGATTTCTGTTTTTCTAGTTTTTGGGGATTCTTTTTTTTTTCAAATGCTATTAATATCAATATTATTACCATATCACAATCTTATTAACAATAATAACGGCAATAAAAATCACAGGAAAGGGGTAAACAAGCAAGATAGGGATGACTATTAATTAACTCATTCGTGACGAAGCAATTGTGGAATCTTCTATGTCTATATATACAATAAATAAACAAATCAGTGGACATGGTACATACATACTTTCCAGTCACATCAGTAATTTTGGGTTAATATTACCAGTGATACTAATAACAGTAATAACATCAAGGCTACAATCAACCTCAAAAACAATAGACTTTCTCCCACCAGGATTGTACTAACCTTCCAGTCAAGGGAATAAACAAAGTCATACTCGTATTTCTTCTCCACTCGGAAGGTGGCAGTGAAGCGGTGGTTGAAATTGCGCGCCTCCTTCGACTGCTGGACGTGAATCATGATAGAGTCGGTGATGGTCTTGCCCTCTGAGTCCATTGCTTCCAACAAGAAGGTGTACCTACCAATCTTGTCCTCCAATGGCCTGGGAAGAACACACACGTTTTAGGGATCGCTGACTAAGAGGTGATGGGTGGATATTTACAAGTAATTGTGATAGAAAAGAAAGAGAGAGGGAGAGAGGGAAAGAGGGAAAGAGGGAAAGAGGGAAAGAGGGAAAGAGAGAAAGAGAGAAAGAGGGAAAGAGGGAGAGGGGGGGAAAGGGGGAGAGGGGGGGAGAGGGGGAAAGGGGGGAGAGGGGGAAAGGGGGGAGAGGGGGGAAAGGGGGGAGAGGGGGAGAGGGGGAGAGGGGGGGAGAGGGGGGAGGGGGGGAGAGGGGGAGAGAGGGGGAGAGAGGGGGAGAGGGAGAGAGAGAAAAATGTGTGTGTGAATGGAAACAATCAGTGGCTGACTTTACGCCATTTGCTCTAAAATACAAAATGACAAGCAAGAGTTAAAAAAAAAAGTTACTTCACTCACAGTGCATAGATCTCTTGTCTGGATGGATTGAACTGGATCCATGAGTTGCGCCCAATAGACAGACCATCTGAGGTCTTGAACAAGAGGCGAAGGTCCCTTGTGGTTCCATCCTCAATGTCCTCAAAGGTGTCAGCTGGAATCTGCAGTCTGTATACATGGCCAGCGATCTGGAAGGTAAAACAAGCCTTAGTATCATCAGCACTTTAGAAATCCTAATACAGAACTTCTAGCTCCAAAAAACAGATCTTCCAAATTCAACAGACAAAGCACCATCTAATCACCTATCATCCATACCTCAGTCAAAAAAAAAAAACGCAAATCTCAGAGAGAGAAAAAGGAAATCATTAATCACTCACCCAAGCCAGTTTCTGGATCCTGTTCCTGATGAGGGGTGGGAAGTTTTTGACACCGATCTCTGTGGTGACGGCCACAGTCGGAACACTTGAGGCCTCAATGGTGCGGGTTGGGGCAATCACGGGCTTCTTGGTCATGGTAGCTGTGGCACTCAGGGGCGTTGTGGAGTCTACCTACAATGGTGTAATGAGTGGGTTAGGACTTCACTGGGAGGGGACTTCCAGCTAACTGCAGTTCCACAGAGTTATTCCATATATTATCCTTAAATTCTGGAGGACTGAGAATGCTTCAACAGAACTAGAGAGTAAAAAGGTATGAAAAACATGATTAAATAAGTTGCTAAGATTTTAAACAAGAGTAGCACAAATTCTTCCTTTCAATTTCTCTACCCATTTAAAACACAATTTCAATGTTAATGAACAAGAGGCTTAAAAACAATAGAAAATTATGTGCCATATCTATACAAAACAAAAAAATGTCTGTCATAATGACTTATAAGCAGAAATACTAGTCTTAGTTAATAACAGGAATATGTCAACCAAGTCCCATTGCATGACGAAAATATCAAGAATTATAGTAATGAACGACAACTTACTGTGTATGCAGGCCTTGTGACAATGGATCCCTCAAGATCTGGGTATTCTGTGGGGTAGGCAGACTCATATGTGACAGTAGGGCTTGCCTCCAGTACTCGGGTGGGCTTAACGGGAACCTACAATGAAATTAAAACTCACAGTTAACAGTTCAGTAAGATGAAAGTTACCATCACCTGCTAAACTAAATACACTGAAAATCTCACCAAGAAACATTATTCATCCATACGCTGCAAGAGTTTTGGAAAAACTTACGAAGACAGGTGTGGAGATGGGCACAGGACGAAGCACAGGCGAGACGGAAACGGGCACCTCAGCAGGAACTCCAGGGTAGTAGGTGGCTGGGGTGTCTGTAAACACTGGGGTGGCCAAGGAGGGGATAACACGAGTCTCTGGCTCATCGTATACAGAGTAGTCGTATTCTTCATCCCCATCCCCATCCCCATACTCGTAGTAGTCATAGTTGTAGTCATAGTTATAATCATAGTCACCAGAGTTTTCAATCTGGCGCCGCACTCTATTGAAGGACGGATGTACCTGTGCATAACCAAAAAGTGAAACTAATTAAAAAATGACTTTGACCCATACACTCCACCTGAAAACACAAATTTGACAGTATGACAAAAAGACAGGAAGACTGCAGTCTACAAGGCACACATCCCACGTCATTTACCTGAGTCACAGACCAGCCGTGGACTGGGACGCGGAGGTAATTTTGCAGTGTGCCATCCCTGGCTGCAGCCTCCACATGGTTCACTTGCTCCTTCTTAGCCACATTACCACCACAGCCTACAATCCATTGCAGCTGAGACAGCGAGTCTGTGTGGAGCCTGCTGTTCTTCAGGCTGGCGTTGCCAGGGCCTGCCATGATGGCATCGTTCTCTGCCAGGGGGTCAAAGTCATGGGGGGCCGGCACTAACCACATCTGTAAGGGGATATACAGTCTCAAGATGGCTGGATAAAGGAAGGAATATTACCAACCATCACACAAAAAACAACCAACCAAAGAATAAACAAAATAAATAAAGATTAATCAAGACCAAACTGTTGACTGCCACAGCCAATGAATACAAAAAGTGGACGCATCAGCCCACCACTCACCTGCTTGAGACCAAAGTACTTCATGGCGGTGCGGAGAAGTTTCACTCGCCCCTTGGCCTCCAGCGTGGGCAGGTGAGTCTCTATCATTACCGACATAACTGTTAAATCTTCCTTGGGTCGACAGTCAAACTGATTAGCCAGAGTGGAACCTGCAAGAAAGGCAACTGTCATTTATTTGAACCGCACACCACCAAAGCTGAAGTGATCACTGGAATGCAAATGGATCCTTACATATTCAAGAAGTGGGGGAAGAAGGGAGGGAGGAGGGGAAGGAGAGGGAGAACGAGAACCAACAAGGACAAGGGAAACAGCAACAAGGAAGCACACGAGAACAGTGAGGAGGAGGGTAAGAACATGAAAGGAGCATGAGGAGGAGCATAAGGAGTGTGAGGACAGTGAAGGGGGGGGGGGGGGGACGAAGAGTGCATTGAAGGGAAGTGGGAGGACAATGAAGAAATAAGATAAAGCCAAAGACAAGGAGGTAAGGTAGCCAGGCAGGACAAGGATGAGGACAATAAAGACAACAATAAGGACAAGGAGAACAAAGATGGGACAAGAACAAGGAAGATCAGAAAAGTAAGGAAGACAGAGGGTGAAAAAATAGACACAAATAATATGCAAACAACGCAAGGGAAAACACAACAAATTAGACTTACAAAAAATATATATACAAAACAAAGACAAAAATAAAAAAAAATAAAGACAAAGAACTAAAATGGTGACAAAATAAAAAAAAAACAATACAAACAAATGATAAAATGACAAAATAAAGACCAAACACAGACAAAGATGTTTATGTATGAGACCTATCAGCCTTTGGTCATCTGCCAGGCCAGCACTCAAATGGGGCCTCATATCATGGGGCCAGAGGCATGGCGCCGTCATCCATTTGACACACTGATATCGAAATAAAAACTTGTACTGGCAATGTCACCTGCGTTTTTCTGTTTTTTCTTTTACAGTGGAGAGAGCCACATTTATACTGACACACTATATCATGATTTTTTTTAGATGATGTGCCAACACTGGAAATTGTTCACTATCTTCCAAATGAAGAACAGAAAAAGAATTAACAGTATAATTACAACAATCAATTATCAACAGGCAGATAATGTAAGTATCTCGTGAAAAAAATCTTCCTGTTTAAAACCAACACGGCCAATAGAAGCAAAATCATTAACTTTTTTTTGTTACTACATGGCCACAACTTGTATTTGAAAAGCATAAAATAACAATTTCTTTCACTTAAAGTTTAATAACATTCACCGAAAGAAAAAACTGGCAACACGACCACAAACTACTCCAACTTGCCAAGTCTCTTTGGATAAAAAATAAATAAATAGGTTTATAGAGTTGGAAGTGTCACCAAAGAAACAAAAATTACTGTATACTGTATCAAAGTATGAAACACCAGCTGATAAGAATGAAAGATGCGAGCTTATTATAGCGATCAAATCTAGACCTACTCTAACCTTATTATCATCATTTCATCATCACCACCAAATGATATCAGTATCAATATCATAATCATCATTATCATACTCATAATCATAATCCTCAGTATCCCAGATCCATACCATCCACCACCAATAAAAGTAAAATAAAAAAAAAAAGGATAAAACAAATAACATTGAAAAACTAAATAAATAAATAAAAAAAATAAAACTTAAAATACGAACAACACCCGATATAAACCCTTCTCCTTACCGTCAACCTCATCAACCTCGATGGCAAACACGTCCTTCGCGTAGGAGTGGTCGCTGCCGTACGCCCTGACAGTGATGTAGTGTGGGCCCCGGTCGGAGGAGAGTGGGACGCCCTCGAACACCCCCCGGATCGCATCCCAGTGCAACCAGTCGGGCAAGCCGCTAACCTGCAAATATGGCAATAAACAGAAATAAGTATGTACATTTTTTTTTAGTAATCATAAATACCAATTTTTTCCCACTAAAAATGTTGAACAGAGAGGAAACAGGGAAAAGGGGTGGAGAGGAGAGAGGGAGAGGGAGAGGGAAAGGGGGTGGAGGGGAGAGAGGGAGAGGGAGAGGGAAAGGGGGTGGAGGGGAGAGAGAGAGAGAGGGAGAGGGAGAGGGAGAGGAATGAGAATAATGGGAGGAGAGGGGTGATGAAATAAATGAAGCAGAACAGGAGGGAGAGAAGAGGGGTGAGGGAGGAGGGGGAGAAGAGGGTGAGGGAGGAGGGGGAGAAGAGGGGTGAGGGAGGAGGGGGAGAAGAGGGGTGAGGGAGGAGGGGGAGAAGAGGGGTGAGGGAGGAGGGGGAGAAGAGGGGTGAGGGAGGAGGGGGAGAAGAGGGGTGAGGGAGGAGGGGGAGAAGAGGGGTGAGGGAGGAGGGGGAGAAGAGGGGTGAGGGAGGAGGAGGAGGGGGAGAAGAGGGGTGAGGGAGGAGGGGGAGAAGAGGGGTGAGGAGGAGGGGGAGAAGAGGGGTGAGGGAGGAGGGGGAGAAGAGGGGTGAGGGAGGAGGGGGAGAAGAGGGGTGAGGGAGGAGGGGGAGAAGAGGGGTGAGGGAGGAGGGGGAGAAGAGGGGTGAGGGAGGAGGGGGAGAAGAGGGGTGAGGGAGGAGGGGGAGAACAGGGGTGAGGGAGGAGGAGAAGATGGATATCGATGGGAGAGAAGAGAAAAAGGAGGGGGAGAGAAAATTGGTGGGGAGAGGGGGATAAGATTGGGTAGTGGGTGGGGAAAGGGGGAGAAGAGAGGTGGGAAGAGGGAAAAATTGATGAGAGAAGAGAGGGGAAAAGGGGGAGAAAAGAGATGGCAAAATGGGAAGAGTAGAAGTGGGGATAGGGAGAGAAACAGGATGAGAGAGAGGGGGAGAAGTGGGGAGAAGGAGAGGGGAGAAGTGGAGGAGGAGAGGGGAGGGAGAAAAGGGAAAATAGTGAGGGGAAAGGGCAGAGGTGAGAAGAGAGAAGAGAGAGAAAAGGGGGGAAGGGGAGAGGAGAGAAAAGGGGGGAAGGGGAGAGGAGAGAAAAGGGGGGAAGGGGAGAGGAGAGAAAAGGGGGGAAGGGGAGAGGAGAGAAAAGGGGGGAAGGGGAGAGGAGAGAAAAGGGGGGAAGGGGAGAGGAGAGAAAAGGGGGGAAGGGGAGAGGAGAGAAAAAGGGGGGGAAGGGGAGAGGAGAGAAAAAGGGGGGGAAGGGGAGAGGAGAGAAAAGGGGGGAAGGGGAGAGGAGAGAAAAGGGGGGAAGGGGAGAGGAGAGAAAAGAGGGGAAGGGGAGAGGAGAGAAAAGGGGGGAAGGGGAGAGGAGAGAAAAGGGGGGAAGGGGAAATGAGAGAAAAGGGGGGAAGGGGAGAGGAGAGAAAAGGGGGAGAAAGGGGAGAGGAGAGAAAAGAGGGGAAGGGGAGAGGAGAGAGAAAAGGGGAGAAAGGGGAGAGGAGAGAAAAGAAGAGAAAGGGAAGGGGAGAGAAAAGGGGACAGGGAGAGAGAGGGCAAAGGCAAGAGGGGAGAGAATGAACTGAGGGGAAAGGAGTGAGAAGGGAGAGACCGAAAACAACAGTAGACAGAGGCAAGGGAAGGGAAGGGCAGGGAAGGGCAGGGAAGAGAGGAGCGGAGGCGCCCAGCGACGTTCCTCTCGTGCATCACATGGGAAGCGCCTGCCCACACATGTTAAACAGCATCAACTTGTTAGTGACACTCCCGGCCGACACGTGTTGCATGTGTTGCTTGCCATCCACTCCAGCCCTCTGCCGCCTGCCGCCGCCGCCGCATCCATCCACTCTTCCACTAACCTGATCCATTCATTCGTCCACTCTCTCGTGAACTTACCCATCGGCACACCCACTCAACTGCCCACTCGCCCTCTTGCCCTCTCGCCCACTCGCCTTCTTGCCCAACCGCCCACTCGCCTTCTTGCCCAACCGCCCACTCGCCTTCTTGCCCAACCGCCCACTCGCCTTCTTGCCCAACCGCCCACTCGCCTTCTTGCCCAACCGCCCACTCGCCCTCTTGCCCAACCGCCCACTCGCCCTCTTGCCCAACCGCCCACTCGCCTTCTTGCCCAACTCGCCTTCTTGCCCAACTCGCCTTCTTGCCCAACTCGCCTTCTTGCCCAACTCGCCTTCTTGCCCAACTCGCCTTCTTGCCCAACTCGCCTTCTTGCCCAACTCGCCTTCTTGCCCAACTCGCCTTCTTGCCCAACTCGCCTTCTTGCCCAACTCGCCTTCTTGCCCCAACTCGCCTTCTTGCCCAACTCGCCTTCTTGCCCAACTCGCCTTCTTGCCCAACTCGCCCTTCTTGCCCAACTCGCCTTCTTGCCCAACTCGCCTTCTTGCAACGCTTCTTGCCAACTCGCCTTCTTGCCCCAACTCGCCTTCTTGCCCAACTCGCCTTCTTGCCCTGCCCAACTCGCCTTCTTGCCCAACTCGCCTTCTTGCCCAACTCGCCTTCTTGCCCAACTCGCCTTCTTGCCCAACTCGCCTTCTTGCCCAACTCGCCTTCTTGCCCAACTCGCCTTCTTGCTCTCTTGCCCAACCGCCCACTCGCCCTCTTGCCCAACCGCCCACTCGCCTTCTTGCCCAACCGCCTTCTTGCTCTCTTGCCCAACCACCCACTCGCCCTCTTGCCCAACCGCCCACTCGCCCACTCGCCCTCTTGCCCAACCGCCCACTCGCTCGACTGTCCACTTTTATACTAAAGTGCTACCCTACCATTCCTGTTTCTTCCACATCGGCATCCCTTCCACTAACCAACCACCCATATCCAAGCGACCAATCCACCTACCCCAACCAAGGGCCCTATCCGCCCGCTCATCCACCCACGCCCTAACTGTGTACAGACCGTATAAACACCCTGTAAACACCGGCGGGATATATGTAGATGTGGCGAAAACCCTCGAGCAGGAAGGGTAAACACTCGGAAGACGTGACCTTGCCGAGTGTTCCTCGTCCCGCTGCCTCTCCACCCTCTTTATCTATCTACCTGTGTCTCCCTCTATTTGCCGACCGAGAGCGCCGAGTCACGTTCGTTCGGCCGGGCAGAACGACCCAAGTCCGAGCTTTCTTTCTTATTTTTTTTGGCATCGACGAGTGTCCTTGTAGCCCGGTGACTTGACCCCAAAAAATGAAGTCATACAAGTCACCCACCCACCCTTCTCATCTTGTCCGTGATGTCACGGCCAAGCCACGCCCCCTCTTCCCGCCTTTCTCTCGCCATTGACGGTTTCGCCGTGACGTCATCCCCGATTCTTGCCCCGCGAGCTTGCGATTGGTTGACAAAGTTTCTTGACGTCACCGACGCGTCACCCCATTCCCTGCCTCGTGATTGGCTGCCGGGCGCCCGAGGGTACCGCTCTCTGCCGCCGCCACACCCCGTAAACAATGACTTAACGGAAATTTAAAGCACCATACACTCCCTCCCCCCCTCGCCTGTCACCGCATTTAGCCGCAGATCCAGAGATAAAGCTCGGCGCTCGAGCTCGTGTCATTAGCACTGTAAACAAGACGAGAGCAAGTGAACAATCAAACCCTAAATAAGAACATCCTGGTGGTGATGAAGGAAGGAGCGGGGAGGCTGCATGACTCATAGCGCGTGAGTGCGTCCGTGTGTGCGTGTCAGGGAGTGCGTGCGCGCGCGTGAGAAAGGCGGGGAAATAACGAGTGGAGAGAGAGAGAGGATGATTTTGGAAAGGTGGGGTCAGACACAGGTATTGAGAGAGGGCGAGGGTGAGACTGAAAGAGAGTGTGTGTGTGTGTGTGTGTGTGTGTGTGTGTGTGTGTGTGTGTGTGTGTGTGTGTGTGTGTGTGTGTGTGTGTGTGTGTGTGTGTGTGTGTGTGTGTGTATGTGTATGTGTATGTGTATGTGTATGTGTATGTGTGTATATGTGTATGTGTATGTGTGTATGTGTGTGTGTGTGTGTGTGTGTGTGTGTGTGTGTGTGTGTGTGTGTGTGTGTGTGTGTGTGTGTGTGAGAGACAGAGACAGAGACAGAGACAGAGACAGAGACAGAGACAGAGACAGACAGACGAAGAGAGAGAGACGAACAGTCAGAGAATGGAGAGAGGAGAGAGAAGACAGACAGACAAAGAGATCAGTAGATAGCGCAACCGACTGAAGAACCAACGGAGCAATTCGACTAAGTGGAAAAGCCTAACAGCACCGAAATGCGCCCATCCATGCGTACAAACCCGGCCTCTCTCTCCCCCCCGCCGCGCCGCCCGCATGACCTCAACGCAGCAATTAGGTAAGTGCCCCCTGTTGCCCCGCTGAGACGAGCCAACAGAAAATGGGGGTCACGGAGAACTAGGCATTTGAACTGACAATTATATTACTCTTGTCCACTCCCGTTTGCTTTCTCTGTCTCCCTCTATTTCTCACTCCGTCTCTCAATCCGCCTATCTCCGTCTCTCCTGTAGAATTGTTTGTGAATAACAATATGAACCACTTATGTCCGTATGTCTATTCGTGGTGTTCACGCTGCATATATCACGATTATGTAAACTCTTCCCTTTCCCTCTTTCCCCCCTCTCTCCCTCTTTCCCTCCCTCTCTCCCTCTTTCCCCCCCCTCTTTCCCTCTTTCCCCCCTCTCCCTCTCTCCCTCTTTCTCTCCCTCTCCCTCTCTCCCTCTCCCTCTCTCCCTCCCTCTCCCTCCCTCTCCCTCTCCCTCTCCCTCTTTCCTCTTTCCCCCCTCTCTCCCTCTTTCCCTCTCTCCCTCTCTCCCTCTCTCCCTCTCTCCCTCTTTCCCTCTCTCCCTCTCTCCCTCTCTCCCTCTCTCCCTCTCTCCCTCTCTCCCTCTCTCCCTCTCTCCCTCTCTCCCTCTCTCCCTCTTTCCCCCCTCTCTCCCTCTTCCCCTCTCTCCCTCTCTCCCTCTCTCCCTCTTTCCCCCCTCTCTCCCTCTTCCCCTCTCTCCCTCTCCTGCGTTCGTCTTTCTCCGACTTCTTGCCCGAATTCGCGAGCGG